ACAACAAAAACAAATACTATTAAATTTGAATGGTTGAAAGAATTAGGTGGAAGAAAGCCAATTAAAATGATAAGAAAGAAAGAATGAAAGAGGATGTGCATACAGCATATCTATGGTGGCTTAAGTTGAATTGGGAAAATTTCAGATGAGGTCTTCCATTTTGCAAAGCATTTTTTCTTAAAGCTGAGACAGAAAATAGATCAATGAAAATTTACAGTATACCACTTGAGAGGTCTTTGCAATTAGAACTTTGAAGGAAGAGAAATGTAGTGGGTTGTAAATTCTTGCAGTAGTATACTTGGTGGGTTTCAAACTATCTTTCCTCTAACTGAAAAGAACATACATTAACCATAAACAATTAGTAGAAATATCCAATTAATTTTAATTTTAAAGAAAACGTCTATGAAGATATGTGTAGTTCAGTGGCTATCTTATTTTGACTTCGCTAATGAATTTCTTTGGACAACTATTGAGGCAAATGAAAGCAAAGACATATAAAAGCTCTGAATATCGAACATGTGAGGATACAACATATGTGACAAATCAGAATATGTTTACGTCTACAACGAAATAGAGAGAGATGTATACATATTTATTTCCATTTTCAAACATGCATAGAAAATTACATACAACCTAAGAATCCAAAGAATAACGGAAAGAACTACCATTATAGGTTAATAATCACATTAAAATCGAAAGCATATCCAACAAAATTACATGGTGATAACGCCTACAAAAATACATGAAAGTTCGAAACAAATCATACGTAAACAGAATCTCATAAAGCCAAAATATCATACATGCATTTGGAAAGCTGTAATAATACATGAAGAAAGAGCAAAAGGCATATACATACAAATACTACAGTTAAATATCCAAATCTTATATACTGAATTAAAACAAAAAGTAGAGCACAAAAAAAAATTAATTTCACAAGTAGGTGTAGATTCTACACCATTGATCGAATCATAGTAACTAATTCCCTGTTCCTTTCCTAAGCATGTATATTAAAATAAAAAGGGAAAAGGAGCTCAAAACAATCAGAATTGAAGCATAGAAACTTAAACTCAATTCATTCAACACTCTATTTGATCATTAGGCAACGAAAATTTAAAGATGCAGTGTTCGTCCTTTTTAACTCCAAAAGGGGCAAATTACTGTACAATTAGTACTACCTTTAGTACAATTAAATGATTCTACCTTTACTTTTTAAAACTGTGTTGTTGTTTTTTTTACCAGAACTTTTTGAAATACTTCTAAATATGTGGAATTGATATCATTGTGACTTTATAGTTTGGTGTGAAAGCGAGATGTAGACTGACCTTTCACACTTTTTTGGTTGGTGTGGGTGGTTCAAATTTTGGCGCTGCATTTGAGGAACCAGCTGCAGTAGTTGTTGCTGTCACATCCACCTCACTTATTTCCAAAGGCCTTATCTTTTTAGAATTCCTATCAGTAGTGCTCTGTGGAGTATGTTCCTTTTCCATGTAGGAAAGAATGGACAAAGTTGCATGCGTGCTATTTGAGTTGCCCCAAGATGACTTCCTTAGCTCAATTTGGAATACTTTGTTTGACAACATCTGATGGACATTATCAAGAGACAATGATTGCCGCTATAAATGTAAAGAGTTACAACAAACACTTTAGAACTAAGCATATATGGTAAACTGTTTCTGCTGAAGACATATGGTATTGTGACAATACATGTGTACAAGTAGCTGGCGGGAATGAGAGATCACCTTAGTGCAAGTTATGTCAAATATGTCTTCTGCTGTCATGGAGAGTAATTTTTCTCCCAATTCAGCAGAGATAGATGCTGTGGTTGTAGCAGTACCATCAATAAGATCAATTTGAAAAGATACACCTGAAATGATGGCAAGTTTGAAATTTGTGCATAATATATGCTATATTTTGTACAAAGTGTAATTTACAAGTCAAAAGTATAGTACCGAGGCACTAATGTTGTTTTCCGATTGCATTTTTGGACATTCAAAATCCTTTCTATCCTTTGTGCGCTTCTTCTGTTTGCATCCTGGGCATTCAAGCACACAAAACTGTTGGAATTCATCTAATATGGCCATTTCTGCTTCAACATAGAACACTCTCATCTGTCGGAAAAATATCATATGCATAATACGTGTTAAATTAGTCATGAGTAAATATAATTTGTTTTTATTATTTAGGCAAAGGTAGACAATGAGAAAATTAGTAAGCATACTCTCAAATGAGCAGCTTCAAGTATGACTTACAGAAGGTGCTGATGAGATTTCTGCAACAGAGATAACTTGTTGGCCAGTAGGAGTGACTATCATGGGAGTGACAGATGAGCTTGTTGAGGTTTTCTCTGACGCACGACTTAACAACATTGGTTTGTTTTCTTTTGCCCTATTGTTACAATAGATAATATGTTGAGTAGGTTCTTTACATGCAAAATAAAGCTAGAGAATAATGATGAAATGTGAGTACCAATTGATGAGTTTTACTGCTTGTGGGTAATTTGGATTCACACGTACTGTGGAATTGAACCTAGTATGCAGTGACAACCCTGTATAACACAACTTGTATAATGTTTTGTTATTATCTAAAATTATCTTGGTAAAAAGATCAGTGCATATGTACCTTGAAAAGTAGAGATTCCTATACTCCTTCCGAGAATTACAATCAGATCTGCCTCTGTTGCCATTTTAGAGGCAATTTCATGTCCTTCTATTTCTCCGAAATCCTCCCATAGAGTGAGGAGAAACTGATTTTTCCTGAGAGCGTGAGAACATAAGGAGAGAAGAGTAGGTACCATGATAACGTTCAGACCATAATTGATGATGCAATCAGACAAATGGAAAAAGTGGTTACTCATTCAAAATATTTGCAGAAAATGGGAAAATAGAAGGTGAAATCTTATACTTACCGATTGTCACAAAGGGTAATTTCTCGACACCTATGATGACTGCGACCTGCGTATTTTTGAGGACCACAACGAAAAACAATTGCCAGTATATCTGCATATATAATACATAATGACCAACTTTCCAGGACGACACAACATTATCCTAAGAGAGCGCGTTAAGCTATCCACAAAGATAACACATATAAACAACCTACAAAAACACTCAGGTTGCTCTATAATAATCAAAGTACAAAACCACAAGGATTAATGGGTATACAGTATCCTAGATGATCAAGTTAAGCTATCAACAAATACAATAAAAATCATGAGATTGCTCTAAATAATCAAATTTCAAAATCACATAGATTGACAAGACCACAATACTTTGGAAGATCCCATTAAGATATTTAGTAAGACCATAAAAAAAACTAAGATTGCTCTAAACTAATAAAATTTCAAAATCAGAAAAAGCATGAAACTACAGTATCTTATATGTGACGTTAAACAATATAGAAAGAAAATACAGGAAAAAAAAAAACTCTCTTTAGACTTGCATTGGAAGAATTTCTTATGAGTTCACTGAGAAAGTGTTGATAATAAGACTGAGAAACCGATTAACCTCAGCCTGGAAAGCAAATGTCTCTCTGTCCGCCATTTTTTGTGTCAAAGTTACAATCTCTAATAAAACAAAAGAAGAAATATAAAAAATCCAAGATTGAGTAAGTTGGCAGTCATAAACAGAAATTAACATAGCAGTCATATATATTGCAAAACACTTACTTAAAAAGAATACTATATAATATATTTTAGCCTGATAATAGCTATTAGGATGGATATACCAATTTCAGCAGCAGAATCAACCATCAAATGAGGAATGCGGTCAAAGGTTGTGATATTCAGCTTGCTTGGCGGTGGAAGTGGTTTTTCAACTTCATTAGATGGTTTGATATGTTCAATTACTGTTTCTTTGTCAAGAATCCAGTAAAGTTTATGTATTGGCTTGCCGTATGAAGTTGGGGGGGAGTTTTGACTCTTGCAGTAGAAATGAGGGTAGTATTGATGAGTTTAAGCTTATATGCATACTGCTCAATTTCATCAGCATACATAACTGCCTTAATCTGGCATGCCTGAAAGTAAAAGTTATACAAAGCTGAGATTAACTAAGTTGAGAATAACTGTAGCTGCTTACTAACGGGCAAATGTAGGAAAAATGTTCAGATGAGGTAAAAAGAAAAAGAGCAATATTCATAAGATAAAATATAATAATGAGCTGACCTCTTTATCTTCCAAAATCAAATTTTGGAATCTACATTTCTTGTCAGGGCTTTCTCGCGGGCGTCCCATTTCGACAATTTGAACTTTGCAAATCCAATCTCGTGGTGCTAATTCAATTCGGTCAATGTTCAATCTTAGTACCATTTTTGTAGGAAATATAGCTAACCAAACAATAGTATCTGCAGGATAACATGAGTATTCAGTCAAAGTCCTATCTTTTTTGTGTTTTTATGAACAGGGTGATGAAATTCGGAAGATGCAACAACATAATTGGTCTCCACATACTAAAAGTCAGATTTATTTTGGCAGAAAAAGAGAAAGTGCAAAAACATCTTAGTACATAAAAAATGATTATTATTTTATCAAGAGTTTATGATACCGAAAAATTACTGTAACTAAGGATTAGAGCAACATTGAAGAAACATAGAAGCAAAATAAATTGTACAAGCTTTTCTTTTTATAAAACACATGTATTGTAATATGTGTATTATATTTACCCATCTAAACCCTATTACTGAAGTAGAACTGAACATTACTCTCTCTCAACGCCGGCGAAAGAGGATTAGAAATTTTTCCCTGTTCACATCCAACTTTTTTCTTCCCTTTTGATATTTGTTGTTTATTCTTCTCTTGTGATGATTATTGCCTGAATTATTGAAGGTATTTATTTATTATGGGGGAAATCTTACTTCCATTCTTCTGGTTATGATTTATTGTTGCGGTCGACAAACACTATAAAGTAGATCATTTAAATATTCTATGAAGCAGACCATGCACTTGAGTGACAAGAGAAAGGTATTGTCTTAGGGTTAAGGGAGAAGGACTGTGTGAGAATGTCTTAATGCTAATTCAAATACCAAAAATAGTGAAAACAGAGTTAAAACACTATGACTGAAGAGATTATTTACTTGATCTGTTGTTTGCCTTCTCTTGGTCTCATCACAGCCTAGTAATTTAAGACAATCAGCTTGCAGCGTCTGCCTATATGATCCTTACAGGATGCCTTGTTCAAAAAATTTAAAATGGAAAAAAACATATGAAATGACAAATGATGATTCCTTTATATCAGCAGAATTATCCTACAATTTAGATGCATAAATTAACATACCTTCTTTATCTACCAAAAAGCACAGAGTTAAGAAGTTGTCAGCTCCCCTGCATTTTAAACTTTTCAAATACACTATCAAGCAGACCATGCAGTTTAAACTGTTATATGATATATCATAACAATATTCTTCTGCTGAATGAACAATTCGCCTAATAATGACGGCTATTAAAATGTCATCGTTAGATTTTGATTACTCAAAAGAATATAGCATATTATTATCTCTTGTTTCATGAAGACCTAAACAAATTCAAAAGATGCGTGCTATATTGCAAGGACATAAGGAGCTTTTAGATTGTCAAAGTAGTGCAAATCTAGCAGGTAATCTTATTCTTGCTTGAAATGGATTGTAGACACTGGAGCCTCAGATGACATGTTACAGAATCATGCGTATTTGCATCATAAGAAATAGTATCAGCGGAGAGCAGACGCAAGTTTACTGTGGATGACATAATAGTTTTAGCGGAAAGAACAAAAAAAAAAGAACTGGCGATGAAATGCGAAAAATAGCAGTAGCACCTTAGAAGCATTTGTTGTGGACAATGGATGGACCACAACTATTGTACTCGGCCTTCAAAATCCAGATCTGATTAAGTACAGTACATGTTTAAGTTAGCAAGAACCCAGTTGAAAATGTAGTTTAAAATGCAAAAGAATATGCAAGAGAAGATTTTAAAAAAAGAAAAAAGCTTGCTTACTGGAAGGTGCTAAGTGAAGTGAGGATGGATAGTCACTGTACTTTGTCTCTGGTGTCATTAGTGAGATTTATCATCTTGATAAGTGATTTCCTTTCCCCTGCAGTATGAATTCCAGTATCCATTTGTGTCAGATCTGACCTACTACTTCTCTTTCACTTTCACAGACAGAATTGTTGTGTTTAGTTTCAATCAATATTAATTCAAAAGGCAGGGTAAAGAACGAAATCTTAACTGTAGGTAGTTAAGAAGACTTGCCCTTTGTAGTTTTTGATGTATGAATAGTTTAAGTTTCAGCCCTGCGCCTGAAGATTGAAGTACAACAGTTGTTGCTTTCATTTCCTCCACGAGTAGCAGCTTGCTCAAATTCCTTTATCAAATCTTCGCTTTCGCTCACGAGCATCATGGGACGGTTTGTACTGCTCTTCCTAACTCTAGAATCAACATGTTCCCACATTGCATCATTTCATTCCTCAAATCTTAACCATCCTATAAAATTGTTTCCATAAATGAGAAACTGGAAAAGAACAGATATAGAATTACATAGTCCATATAAATTAAGTTTTTGAGATAAAAGCTAATATAATAAACTATCAGTAAAAATTATTCATTCAATTATAAATCACAATTCTAAGGGCAAAAAAGAGGACGCTCAAGAAGTTATTAGGAATATACATTGCTTTTGAAATCTATTTAGTATATATAAACTTTTGGACTATTGAATATGTCGCGGAGTACTCTTGAGATTTTTGTACAAGTGAACTTTTTAGTGCAGACATTAGTGCTTGTTCCTGCAATTTATCGGAAAGTGCACACACCAAAGATTAGAATCTGAATAATATATATTTTTACTAAATTTCACAACATACACAATTCATTGCCTACAATTCACATAATGCTACAACAGAAAGATTATTAAATAACATACCTGAGGAGAATTTGAGCAAGCAGTTCCCTTGATTTTCATGGATACTGCTCTATTGGAGATCAATTTCATGCATCATCTTCCTTGTTCTTGAGCTATTTTAATTCATAGGAACTTCAAATCTATTAGTTGTCCGATCCATTGAATCTCTGAAATAGACGGAGAGAAAGAATAGAGTAGACGATCAGATCTAAAATCACTGTTACATCTGAAAAGATGTTCGATAATCTACAAAGAGGAAAAACGACAATGCAAATAAAAGTAGACATTGTTAGAAAAGAAATTCAATTAACAAAGTAATCACTCCTAAAGGTTCACTTAAAATTGTTGATGAATCCAACCATTCTGGCCTTATTTTCACAGAAGCAACATCAAAACTATTTTCATCTTTTTTCACATCTAAAATGAACTCGAAGCACCAATAACTAAGCACTGAAAAATTAAAGCTATGACAAAAGTAAGTTAAAAGTGTTTCAATATATAATACAACAAAATAAAGAGAACTCGTCTCCTAAATTAGGCCTACTAAATTAAAAGCTAAAGCACAACACTCTTCTGAAAAACAGGTCATTACTATACAACTTCATGCAATTTTCACCAAGCAGACAACCGAATGACGGCATTAGCATTCATCAATGAAGGATCAGACAGTACTTATCCAGAAATCATGTTAATAGTTGTTAGAATTTAGCGATTGTATCAAAACATAGAAAAGGTAGCAATTGATACATAGGAAAATGTAGAAAGATATAACAAACTGATTATAAAACAACAACGATAGTTAGGATTTGTTTATTGTGGAACACGTGCCTACACAGCCAAGACTACATAAGGAGAATGAGACATAAATGTAAAATTGTACAGGGACATAGATAGTAATGTAATTCTGATTTTTTAACAGACATCAAATTGAAGAGTCAAAACCTCTAGTAGTAGTTGCTTTTAAAAGAAAATCTCCTCTGGCTTCAGAAGAAAAGCTCCTCAACACCTCCAAGCCACAGCTCACAAGAGCTCCTGCTGCTTTCAGCATAGCGCAAGTGATGTCTGTCGCTTGTGGACGTGAAACCCTCCTCCCTGAGTTCTGTTAACAACACATTCAGCCTGGATTT